CCTTTTTTTAGCTGGCCTTTGGCTGCCGGATGCCTGAGAAACACTTCGTAATTCCCAGCACCCTCAGCACACAGAGCGAGGGAGCTCTGGGGAAGGGGGCAGGAGTGTGCCTGTCGCTGCCCTGTCCCCTTCTCTCTAGCCCTGTCCCCTGGCAGGCTCCTGTAGGGCACTGACAGGGAGGGTGGGCTCAGAGGATGGCCCAGGCCTGGAGAGAGCTCACAGGCCCTCGTGGGGCCTGTCACCTGACTTCTTGGGCACTGCTACCCCGTACCTCCCCTTCGCACTGGGCAGCCTGGCCTGAGAGGTGCCTCTAAATGTGGGAAGGGAGGACAGGGAGGGGTGGAGGCCCGGCCGGCTAGGACAGTGTCAGGCAGGGCTAGGCACTGTCCCAGCTCCCCACCCACCCTGACTTGGCGGGGCTGGGGGACGGGGTGTGTGCGTGTGCATGTGTGTGTGAGCCCACACCCACACAGAGCTCGCCTCTTTTGGCACACAGACGCTTTTGAGCCAATCCTCCCCATCCTCCCAGCCTTCTGTCCCTGCTGAAAGAAAGCAAAGGACCTGGCTAGGGCCTGCAGGAGAGGAGTCAGAAGGTCAGACAAGAGAGAATTAAGCTGCCAGCCAGATTCCCCTCCACCCGGGAGCAGGCAACAAACGGCATGGAAGCTGCCCTATCCTGTAGCCTGAGTGAGGAGCACAGAACAGTCCCTGTGATGCGGGCCACTGGGCCAAGGGTTCCTAATCTAAAGGCACATCATGGGAGGGCTTTAGTCCCCTGCTGAAATTGTAAGCAAAACTAGGTGTATGTGACTCACAGCCTCATCATAGGTCAAAAGCATCTATGAGCCGAAAGAGGCAAGAGGCCTGGTGCCCGGCAGGCCCAGACTGCTGGACAGGGATTCAGAGAGGCAGGCAAGGGAGGTGGAAGTGGTTTTGCCGCCTGGTCCTGGAAGGAGAAGAAAAAAGCTTCTATGTAGTGAGTGGAGGGAGAGTAGAACGGCCTGAATAGAACTTGGATCCTGGAGCCTGGCTTCAGGGATTCCAGTCACGGCTCTATCACTTAGCCGCATGACCTTAAGCAAGTTACTCCCCTCTGTGCCTCAGTTTCTCTGCCTGTAACATGGGGATTAATGACAGCACCTTGCTCGAAGGGTGGCTTTGTTAACACACGTGGTCCACGTGGCATGGTGCCTGGCGCACAGTGAGCGCTCAGCACGTAGTGGCCGAGATCACAGGCCGTGCCACTGGATGGGGTCGGCAAGTCGCTCTGCCTGCCTTTGCCCAGTTAGCCAGCACTGAGGGAACGGGTAAACTTCCCCTTCCTGGTTCAGTTCCTGCCTCTGTAAAATGAGGCCCCTTTCAGCCGTCAGTTCACCAGGTGTCCAGTCTCTTACCCTCACCAGTGAGGGGGCGTGAGTTTTTAGGGAGAAGCCCCCATTTCCTGGGACTGGTTCTGAGGCTTGCACAAAAGAACTGCTCCCAGGAAGCACTTCCCCAGGACAAGCTGGAACTCAGGCCTGCCCAGCTAGCCCAGCCCACTCCAGGGGCCCTGGAGCCTTTGGCCAGGCCTGCCTGGGGTCTGTGCAGCCCCTGAGTCATGTTCTGCCCAGACCAGATTCAAACCAGAGCCTGGGAGGGCCTGGCAGGCGAGGATTTGCCCTGGTCCTTGAGGGGCCCGCAGCAGATAGGTGGGGGGAGATAAGGATGCCGACCAATCAGAATGAACTCAGCTGGGACCACAGTAACTCTTTAGTTGCTGCTTTTGGGGGTGGTCCAGATCTAGGGGAGGGGCAGGACAGCAGGAACCACTCCAGGGGCAACAGCCATTTCTACTCTGTAGAGAAGTATTTCCATCGTGTTTTTTTGTTTGTTTGTTTGTTTTTGAGACAGAGTCTTGCTCTCTCGTCCAGGCTGGAGTACAGTGGTGCTATCTCAGCTCACTGCAACCTCCGCCTCCAGGTTCAAGCAATTCTCCTACCTCAGCCTCCTGAGTACCTGGGATTACAGGTGCGTGCCACCATACCTGGCTAATTTTTGTATTTTTAGTACAGACGGGGTTTCACCACGTTGGCCGAGCTGGTCTCGAACTCCTGACCTCATGATCCGCTCACTTCGGCCCCCCAAAGTGCTGGGATTACAGGAGTGAGCCACCACGCCTGGCCGTATTTCAGTAATTTTTTTTTTATTCCCATTTTACAGATGAATGTTTTAGTATTTTACCGACTGGTAGAGGTATGTCAACTCTGGGCCCACACTGCTATGAATCTGGGTATGTGTGTTGAGGGTAAGTGACAGGAGAGAATCTAATTAACCTCCCAATATAGAATATTTCAGGCTGGGCACAGTGGTTCAGCCTGTAATCTCAGCACTTTGGAAACTGAAGTGGGTGGATCACCTGAGGTCAGGAGACCAGGTGAGACCAGCCTGGCCAACATGATGAAACCCAGTCTCTACTAAAAATACAAAAAAAAATGCTGGGAGTGGTGGTGGGCGCCTGTAATCACAGCTACTTGGGAGGTTGAGGCAGGAGAATCGCTTAAACCTGGGAGGTGGAGGTTGCAGGGAGCCGAGATTGCACCATTGCACCACTCCAGCCGGGGTGACAAGAGCAAAACTCAGTCTGGAAAAAAAAAAAAAGGAATATTTCAAACTGATTTTATCTGCATTTATGGGTGCAATCACTTCTGTCAGAGTTTTATGCATTCTCTGGAAACAAAGTTAGGGGCTGACTCATTTTTTTTCTCTTTGTTTTTAAGACAGGGTCTCACTCTGTCACCCAGGTTGAAATGCAGTAGTGCAATCATAGCTCACTGCAGCCTCAACCTCCTGAGCTCAAGCCATCCTCCTGCCTCAGCCTCCCAAGTAGCTGGGACTATAGGCACACACCACCACAACTGACTAATTTTTAAATTTTTTGTAGAGATAGGGTTGGGCTATATTGCCCAGGCTAGTCTTAAACTCCTGGCCTCAAATGATCCTCCCACTTTGGCCTTCCAAAGTGCTAGGATTCCAAGCTGACTTATTTGATTTATACCTTGTTGGTGGTGTTTTCTATATTGGTGTGCCTCTTTCTATATTTATCTATATTGTCCACAAATTGCTTTTATAAGCAGAAAATAAATTATTTAAAGTTGTATTCCCAGAGATCTGTGTGCTCAGCCCTCCACAGAGAGGCCTTAGAAATGCAGCAAGGAGAATGTAAGACTGCCTCTGTCCCATCTAGAATCTTAGGTCTGATTGTTGAGGTTGGACATAGCAGAAAAAATTGGTGATGGGGAGAGGAAGGTGGTTGTGCCAGGCAGTGCTAGGCAGGAGGTATGGGGACCCAGGATGAATGTGTGGGGTGCCATGAAGTCTAACAGACTCCTGAGAGCTCAGACCAGGGCAAGGGGCCTTTCAGTCCAGGCAGTACTAAACCCTCATGGAGGCAAGAAGATGCCGTGACCCCGGTGACAGCATTGTGCCACCCATGACCCAGGTCCGACAGACAGGAGTGAGCCTCAAATCTAGGAGCCTGGTGTTTAGACTGGCTCTGGCCTGGGCTGTCTAGTAAGCAGCCACTGGCCACAAGCAGCCATTGAGCACTTAACATGTCTCAGTCAGAAGCGGGATTTGCTTATAAGAGTACATCCAGTATTTTTTTTTTTGAGACAAGAGTCTTGCCTCTGTCCCCAGCCTGGCGTCCGTGGCAGTGCCCTAATCTCGGCTGCCTACAAACCTCCGCCTCCTGGTTCAATGCGATTCCTCACTGCCTCTTAGCCTCTCCCGAGTAGCTGGGGACTACAGAATCCATCACCATGCTCGTTAGTTTTTTTTTTTTTTTTTTTGTATTTTTAGTTAGAGGATGGGGTTTCACCACATATTGGCCAGGCCTGGTCTCAAACTCCTGACCCTTAGGGTGAATCCCGCCCAGCCTCAGCCTCCAAAGTGGCTGGGATTACAGGCTATTGAGCCACCGCACCCGGCCCCAGATTTTAAAGACTTAGTATCACGAAAAAAGATGTAAAATAGCCATTAGTATTTTTTAATACTTGATTGAATGTTGTAATGACACTCTTTTTTTTTCTTTTGAGATACGAGTCTTGCTCTGTCACCCAGCGCTGGGAAGTGCGTGGATGGCGATCCTTAGCTCACAGCTCCGCCTCCGGCTCCACGCCATCTCTCCTGCCTCAGCCTCCCGAATAGCTGGGACTACAGGTGCTTGCCACCACACCCGACTATTTTTTTTTTTTGTATATTTAGTAGAGACAGGGTTTCACCATATTAGCTAGGATGGTCTCAATCTCCTGACCTCGTGATCCACCCATCTTGGCCTCCCAAAGTGCTGGGATTACAGGCGTGAGCCAGCACGCCTCCCGCAATGACACTCTTTTGAATATACTGGGTTAAGCAAAATATATTTGTCTCCTGCAGTGGCAGGGAGCTCCTTGAGAACAGCAACGCTGGCCCAGTCATCTCTGTATCCAGCACCTAATGCAGGGCCTGGCACAAAGCAGACAGTCATCAGTGACTGTGGAGATGCCGTGACCCCGGTGACAGCATTGTGCCACCCATGACCCAGGTCCGACAGACAGGAGTGAGCCTCAAATCTAGGAGCCTGGTGTTTAGACT